CACAACACAACACATGACACAGACACACAGACAACATGACACACAACACTTTACACAAACACTCAACACAACAGTCAAGACAGCACACGACACACAGCACGTTACACACACATAGAACATGACACACAACACGTTACACATACATAAACACGTCTCACACACACAACGCATCACACACACAACATCACATGGCACACAACACAACCCATAAAAATCACACACGACACATGACACCGACACACACAACAACACACGACACACAGAATGGCACACAACACAACACACACAATGCGACACACATCACACAGAAAACTTCACAGACAGACAACACCGACGCACACACATGACACACAAAAATCACACACAACAGATGACACCGACACATATACACACAACACTACACACAACGCCTCACACGACACACAAAATGGCACAAAACACAACACACACAGAAGACGACACAACGCCTCATACGCCACCGACACACACAGAACATGACACACAACGTGTCACACACACACACTCGACAACACACAACACACACAAGACAGACAACACATCTCACACACACTCACAAGATGACACACAATATGTCACGCATACACACACATCTCATACACACACAACACACTATACCGACACACATACATAGAACACGACACACACCACGTCACACACACATTCACAACAGGACATGACACACGAGACATCACACACACACACACAGGACACAACACACCACGTCTCACACACACACAGACAACAGGACACGACACACGAGACATCACACACACACACACACACAGGACACAACACACCACGTCTCACACACACACAGACAACAGGACACGACACACGAGACATCACACACACAGGACACAACACACCACGTCTCTCACACACACACAGAACAGGACCCGACACACGAGACATCACACACACAGGACACAACACACCACGTCTCTCACACACACACAGAACAGGACCCGACACACGAGACATCACACACACAGGACACAACACACCACGTCTCTCACACACACACAGAACAGGACACGACACACGAGACATCACACACACAGGACACAACACACCACGTCTCTCACACACACACAGAACAGGACCCGACACACGAGACATCACACACACACACACACACAGGACACAACACACCACGTCTCACACACACACACACACACACAGAACAGGACCCGACACACGAGACATCACACACAGACGACACGACACACCACGTCTCACACACACACACACACACAGAACAGGACCCGACACACGAGACATCACACACACACGACACAACACACCACGTCTCACACACACACACACACACACAGAACAGGACCCGACACACGAGACATCACACACAGACGACACGACACCTCACTCATTGTACGTGGCACACACAGCACGTCGCACGTCACACACAGCACGTCGCATGTCACTCACAACATGTCGCAAGTTGCGTGTCACACACACAAGATGTTGGACACACAGCACTTCGCACACATGTCGCACGTCACCCACAACATGTCGCACATTGCATGTCACACACACAAAACGTGGCACGTGGTACACAGCACATCACATGTGGGACATCGCAAGCGCAGACTCAACACGTTGCACACACATCTCATTGCGCGTCGCACGCACAACACTTTGCACACGCACAAAACGTTGCATGCGTGCACGCACACACAGCACATCGCACACACAGCACATCGCACACACACAGAACCCGTCACACACACAACAAACGACAGCGACACATACACAGAACATGACACACAACACGTGCCACACACAGAACACGACACCGACACACACACAGAACACGACACATCACATGCGCAGACACACCACATTACATGTCACGCACAACACTTCACACTTCGCAGACGCACAAAATGTTGCACACGCACACACAGCATGTCACACACACACAAGAACACACACAACCCGTCACACTTACACACACAACACGACACACAACACGTCACCCGACATGTCACCCACACACAAACACATGCAACACGACACACAACACGTCACACAACCCGCCTCAGACACACACACAACACACGTGACACAACACACGTCACACACACAACATGACACAACACACGACACAGTCAGACTACGCCCCCTTTCCCCCCGCCACCGTAGGGGAGTTTCGGGCCAAGTCAGGACAGAGCGAGGGCGCAGGGGCTTCAGCAGCTACTACTGAGCATGCGCCATCTGTGTTCAATGCGCATGCTCAGTAGTAGCTGCTGAAGCCCCTGCGCCCTCGCTCTGTCCTGACTTGGCCCGAAACTCCCGCGCGCGGGGGCTCATCGCCGCCGAACCCGCCTCTCGGGTCTGACCCGCTGTCACCGCGTTTGACAGGCCAGGCGGGGCGGTCTGTATGAACGGGAGGATCTGTACGGGCTGGGCCAGAGAATTCGGCAGCGCCCCAGGGCAGGCTGGGAGATGTAGTTCCTGGCGCACCTCAGGCCGGAAATAACGTTGCCCCAATGACGGGCGGAGGTGGTTAACGGTTTGCGTGAGGGCGACCCGCTCGCTGATTGACGGAGAGACCCCCGGGGGCAGCCGCGCGGACAGAGACTCCCGGAGCCAGGGGTGGGGGAGAGGATGGGAAACTGTTGCTGTGATTCTCTCTCAGCACATGGGGAGCGAGGGAGGCGGGAGCAGGTTCGACCCCCCCGCTGCAATGATCCGTTTAAAAGGAGTCTGGCCTCCTCCTGCCTGAGCTACGTTTGTGGTCTCCCTGAGACGCGTGTTAATCCGGAGTCACTGCAAGACAGAACAGCGAGTGACTCCAAATTAACATGGGGGGCAGATAAGATCAGGGTGTGTCCCTGTGGGGAGGGGGTTTCAGTTGTTGCTAAAGGAAAGTTACTTTCTCTGCCTCAGGATATTGGGGTTGAGCTTCCTGGTTCAGACACTGGGAGCCTAGGCTGAGCAGCTGCTGCTCCCCCAGCGGGATCGGGGTTGGGGAGTGACTGTGAGTAAAGCTTCCTCTGTGCCCAGCCAAGGTGAGGATTTTCTCCAGCTGTAATTAGTCCCATAGGTTTCACAGTAACAGCTGTGTTAGTCTGTATTCGCAAAATACAGTCTGTATGCAAGGTAGCCTATTTCCTCTTGTTTTTTCCTACCCCCTCCCCCCCCAGATGTTCTGGTTTAACTTGGATTTAAACTTGGAGAGTGGAGAGAGGATGACCCAACACTCTCACAAGTCTTGGGAGACAGGCCAGTCCTTGCCTACAGACAGCACCGCAACCTGAAGCAAATACTCACCAACAACCACATACCACACAACAGAACCACTAACCCAGGAACTTATCCTTGCAACAAAGCCCGTTGCCAATTGTGCCCACACATCTATTCAGGGGACACCATCACAGGGCCTAATAACATCAGCCACACTATCAGAGGCTCGTTCACCTGCACATCTACCAATGTGATATATGCCATCATGTGCCAGCAATGCCCCTCTGCCATTGGTCAAACTGGACAGTCTCTACGTAAAAGAATAAATGGACACAAATCAGATGTCAAGAATTATAACATTCATAAACCAGTCGGAGAACACTTCAATCTCTCTGGTCACGCAATCACAGACATGAAGGTCGCTATCTTAAAACAAAAAAACTTCAAATCCAGACTCCAGCGAGAAACTGCTGAATTGGAATTCATTTGCAAATTGGATACTATTAATTTAGGCTTAAATAGAGACTGGGAGTGGCTAAGTCATTATGCAAGGTAGCCTGTTTCCTCTTGTTTTTTCCTACCCCCCCCCCCCGATGTTCTGGTTTACCTTGGATTTAAACTTGGAGAGTGGTCAGTTTAGATGAGCTATTACCAGCAGGAGAGTGAGTTTGTGTGTGTATGGGGGTGGGGGGGGGATGTGAGAAAACCTGGATTTATGCAGGAAATAGCCCGACTTGATTATGTAAAGAGTTGTCACTTTGGATGGGCTAGCACCAGCAGGAGAGTGAATTTGTATGGGGGGGTGGAGGGTGAGAAAACCTGGATTTGTGCTGGAAATGGCCCACCTGATGATCACTTTAGATAAGCTATTACCAGCAGGACAGTGGGGTGGGAGGAGGTATTGTTTCATATTCTCTGTGTATATATAAAGTCTGCTGCAGTTTCCACGGTATACATCTGATGAAGTGAGCTGTAGCTCACGAAAGCTCATGCTCAAATAAATTGGTTAGTCTCTAAGGTGCTACAAGTACTCCTTTTCTTTTTGCGAATACAGACTAACACGGCTGTTACTCTGAAACCTGTCATTGTGTAAAGAGTTGTCACTTTGGATGGGCTAGCACCAGCAGGAGAGTGAATTTGTATGGGGGGGTGGAGGGTGAGAAAACCTGGATTTGTGCTGGAAATGGCCCACCTGATGATCACTTTAGATAAGCTATTACCAGCAGGACAGTGGGGTGGGAGGAGGTATTGTTTCATATTCTCTGTGTATATATAAAGTCTGCTGCAGTTTCCACGGTATACATCTGATGAAGTGAGCTGTAGCTCACGAAAGCTCATGCTCAAATAAATTGGTTAGTCTCTAAGGTGCTACAAGTACTCCTTTTCTTTTTGCGAATACAGACTAACACGGCTGTTACTCTGAAACCTGTCATTGTGTAAAGAGTTGTCACTTTGGATGGGCTATCACCAGCAGGAGAGTGAATTTGTGTGGGGGGGTGGAGGGTGAGAAAACCTGGATTTGTGCTGGAAATGGCCCACCTGATGATCACTTTAGATAAGCTATTACCAGCAGGACAGTGGGGTGGGAGGAGGTATTTTTTCATATTCTCTGTGTATAAATAAAGTCTGCTGCAGTTTCCACAGCATGCATCCGATGAAGTGAGCTGTAGCTCACGAAAGCTCATGCTCAAATAAATTGGTTAGTCTCTAAGGTGCCACAAGTACTCCTTTTCTTTTTAGTCCCATAGGGCAACCCAGGGCTCTGCCCACACCAACATCTGAGCCAGAGACTCCAGGTGATTGATAGAGACCTCAGGGAACGTGCAGGGAATGGGCATGAAAGTGACTCTGCACAAAGAGCCTCTCCTCCACTCAGCAATTGCAGGAGCCGATCCAGCCATAGGAGAGGGAACCCCCAGGATTGGCTGCCAGCAAGAGACAGGGGAAGGGAGACACAAGGGGAGAGAGAGAGAGAGACTGAAAAGGGCAGTGGGAGAAATAATTGCGGGGAGAGATTCCCAGATTTCTGACCGGCCCACGCACGGTTATTGCCGCATCCCTGGGCGGATTCACTTTGCTACGAACAAGGTGAGGTGCAGGGGAAGGAAAAGCCAGCTCCTGACTTTCCCTGTACCCCCTGCTGTAGGAGTTTGCTGCCTTGGGGACAATGTCAGGGGGAATCCCCCAATATCACTCCTTTTGTTCTGCTCTTCTCTCCCATTCAGTTCCCAGACTTTGTTACTGGGAGGGTTTCAAAATGTCTCGCTGGTTTAGTGCTAGTGGGAGGGACCAGTCAGTGCTGTAATCTAGTGACCAAACATTTCCCCAGGATAGAATCGTAGAACGGTAGGGCTGGAATGAACCATGAGAGGGCATCTAGTCCAGCCCCCAGCACTGAGGTGTTTGTCCAACCTGACCTTGAAAACCTCTAATGATGGGGATTCCACCACCTCTCTTGCTAATCTATTCCAGTGCTTAATTACTTTTTTTTCACAATTGAGTCACGTGGTTGACTCAGATTCAATTTGTGATCCACTATAACTCCCGATCGTTTTCAGTAGTACTACCTCGTAACCAGCTATTTCCCACTTGGTCGTTGTGCATTTGGTTTTCCTTCCCTAAGTCTAGTACTTTGCACTCGTCTTTATTGAATTTCATCTCATTCATTCAGCTCACTTCTCCAATTTGTAAATGTTACCTTAAATTCTATGCCCAAATAAATCTGTTAGTCTTTAAGGTGCCACCGGACTCCTTGTTGTTTTTGTGGATACAGACTAAGACGGCTACCCCCTGATAGGTGACGCTTTGTTATTTTTATGTCTGATTTTATAAGCAAGTAGTTTTTAAATGGGGCGTAACTCAGAGGTACGCAAGACAAATCAGACTCCTGAAAGGGGCACAGTAGTGTGGAAAGCCACCAGTCTATACAGCTATTTTTAATGGCTAGCACCAACAGTGGAGCATCCATAGGGAGACACATCTCAAAGAACTGTTAGGGGGCTTATTCCTTCACCCACTTACTTCCCTGGTCCTTCTCACATGAACAGAGAGCAACAATATCCGAAGTCCAAAGGTGCTTTTGATGTTTATTGGGGTGAACTTCCAGCAAGCAGGATTCCAGTTTCCTTCCTTAGTGTCCCCCTTCCCAGCTCTGACACCACAGAGCCTTACACCTGTGTCCTTGTTCCCATTCCTGCCCTTAGCCAAACATGATTCCAATTTCCCCAGCCTCATTCCCTGTTCCCATTTCCCCCTTTAGCAAAACATGATTCCAATTTCCCCAGCCCCATTCCCTGTTCCCATTTCCCCTCCCCACACCCACCCACTCACTTCCTGATTGACTGCAGACTATATAGTAAAACTTGAGTTCTGCTTAGCTATACCTTAACCAATCATTTTCCTGAAATTTAACTAACCAATCCTAACATATTGTAACATGATTATGTAACCAATTATATCCCACCACCTTAATTAGTTTACACCCAGCAAAATTAATTATACAGCAGACAGAAACAATCACAGAACCAGACAGAGATTATACAGACAAACAATAGCGAAGTGGGAACTATAATGACAAAACAATACAGAAGTCAGGATTTCACATCCCAGCTATTGATAAGTGAGTTCTTGCCAGACAGGATGCTATCAAACTAAGTTTCCGTTTTACATCTTCTAGGCACTTCCCTTTCTCTGGAGATGATAGGCACTATCAGGACAGGAGTGTATTCCTAACAGCCCAATAGCACCTTATTTCAATGTGACTAGTTTGGAATGTGAGGATGTGACCGGTCGCTTCCCAGCTTATGGCTGCCTCTGTTGCTTAGTCAAAGGCCTTAGCCTAAGAACAGGGACTCAGACTGTCACAGTAAGAGAAGGACCTTACACTGGCAGACAGTGATTTTAATTCTTTCTTTTATACCTCTAACTAGCCAAGTGATAAGAATACACCTAAATTCTTAAAGTACAGGCCTTTGCAGACAGGCCTGAATATCTATATCCTAATGAGAACCATCGTTAATACACAAGTTGTGTAATTTCTTCTTTTCTTGTTCCCTGATCTCACTGGTCTTCTTTCCCCTAAGCAGGATTTCCAGTTTCCAAACCCGATGTCATCTCCCAGCTGGAACGAGGGGAAGAGCCGTGGGCCCCAGATCTCCAGGGCTCAGAGGAAAGAGAGATCCTGAGAGGCAGCTGCATGGGTGAGGGATCATTTAAGGAGACAGCTGGGATTCCCAGCAAAGACCTTGTGAGGTCTCTGGGTTCAGGATGGTCCCCAGTAGGTGTCATATCCTCTGGGCAAATACTGTTTATGGCTTCCTACCCATCCTGAAAAAAGAAAACGAGTACATGTGGCACCTTAGAGACTAACATGGCTGCTACTCTGGTACCCATCTTGACTAACTCCTGGCAGTAGTTCCCTCCCCAAACTGCCATCTCCCTGAGTGTTTGGATGGGAGCTGGATGCAGAACTGATCTCCTTCCTCTCGCCCCTTTGGGGAAGAGTTGGGGGAAATTCAGTCTCTGATTTTTTTCCATCTTCAGCTATTCTCTTGGTTTCTTCTCCCCTTTTCCCTCTGGTTTCTAAGGTTTTTCTTTCTCTGACCCAGGAAGTGATGGGATGGTGAGAGAGACTGTGGAACAGAATCCTCAGCAGGAAGATGAGCAAGTGGAACCACATGGGGCGTTGTTGCAAGGATGCAAAAAGAGTGTGTCCAGGAGTTGTGAGCAGGGAAAAGGCTCTCAGGGGCAGCACAGGCCAGAGAAGCAGCAGGGAAACCAGCCAGTGCAGAAAGTTGGAATATCTGTTAATTATCGGGGAACTCACAAAGGCCTCAAGGAAATCACAGCCCAGCAGAGAATCCTGACGGGAGAGAGAAATAACACGGGCTTTGAGTGTGGGAAAAAGTTCAGGAGGCGCTCACACCTCATTACCCACCAGAGAATCCACACCAGAGTGAGACCCTATGGACGCTGTGAGTGCGGGAAAACCTTCACTCAGCATTTGCTATCAGAGGATCCACACAGGGAAGAAACCCCATGAATGCTGTGAGTGTGGGAAAACCTTTTGGCACTCAGCCCTTATAAAACATCAGAGGATCCACACAAGGGCAAAAGCCTATGAATGCTGTGAGTGTGGGAAAATGTTCACTGAGTGCTCACACCTTATTCGCACTCAGAGGATCCACACGGGAGAAACCCTATGGATGCTGTGAGTGCGGGAAAACCTTCGCTGGGAGCTCACACCTTATCTGCCATCAGAGAATCCACAAAGGCCAGCGCCCCTATGAGTGCTGTGAGTGTGGGAAAACCTTCACTCAGCACTCACATCTTATTGCACATCAGAGGAGTCACACAGGGGAGAAACCCTATAAATGCTGTGAGTGTGGGAAAACTTTCACTGAGTGCTCAACCCTTATTCGCCATCAGAGAATCCACACAGGGGAGAAACCCTATGAATGCTGTGAGTGTGGGAAAACCTTCACTCAGAGCTCAAACCTTATTACGCATCAGAGGAGCCACACAGGAGAGAAACCCTATGAATGCTGTGAGTGTGGGAAAACTTCACTCGGACCTCAGGCCTTATTACACATCAGAGGAGCTGCACAGGAGAGAAACCCCATGAATGCTGTGAATGTGGAAAATTCTTCCATCACAACTCTTCTCTTATTTATCACCAGAGAAGCTGCAAGGGAGATAAACACCATGAAAATCTTTTCTCGGGCTAATTCCCAAGTAGTGCACTTTAAAGCAGCATTTGTGGCATCTCAGCTCCTTTAGGTGAGTTGTCTGCTTTTCCCTTTTGCAGCTCACCCTTCCTTGGAGTGAAGCCCACAGTGTTTTTCATCAACTCCTTCGTCCTCTGTCATGGAAATGTGTGTCCCTCCAACAGGAATGCCCATCAGTCCCAGGTGGGGGAACCAGGAGTGATCTCTACTAGGTACATGGAGGTTAAATCTACCTGGGCCTTGACACCACTAGGGTTTTCCATGGAGTTCGCGATCCTGATATAAAAACACAACTATTTTTTCAAGAAAGAAAATAGCCCATATAGCGTCCAGGGTAATGTAGCAAATTTCCTTACCACTGGACACAAGCTCCATCACTTTTTCTAGTCTAACCAAATTTGGAGCATCACGTTTATAATTTTTTCTCCCACTGCAAAGTGATTGTTAGTCACCAGGTTCCCCCACTAGGGACAGATTGCCTCATTCCCAGTTGTTGCCACGTTGCACTGGATTCTGCTGAATAGCAGTTGGGCTTTTGTACCATTTTTTTCCATGTAAATATAACAGAGAAGGAGCAGGGATAGAGGGTGTGACAAAGTGGGGATTTTTGCTTGTTATGTTTTAAGTGACTCTTACTGTTTTTCATGAGTACGGCGTGTGCCTCAGTTTCCCTGTGTGCTGCACCAATACCTTGGTGGTGGGAATAGGGGTGTGTGACTTTGGCTGAGACCTCTGGGGCTGGTGAGGCTGCCTGCATGACCGGTATGTGACGTTGCACTCCATATGCTTTATGGAAATATGCTTATGACATAACTGGAATATGCTTCACACTAAATACCCCTTGTATCGTGTCATTAGAAAGCTTGTAATCTACTAAGTGTGTTCATCCTATTGGTTTGTATGTATTATTTCTATATCTGGAGTTAGGAGAATTAGCTATAAAATTGTTTCACTGATGTAAACATAGGAAGTAGAGGCCATTACGGGTGCTCCAGAAACAATCAGTTGTAAATGGCCTTAGTTTCTTGAAAGCCTTCTTGTGTACATGTGGGCCAGCCCATGGGGAATGGAGACTAGGGGTCTTACCGTGACATGTGACCATGTCACCTGATAATGAAATCCATCTTAAATCTGGTACTTTTCCATTTAGAAGGAAGGGTGGGGACCCAGAGAGACAAAAGATTCCTGCCTTGTGCCAAAGCTGTAGAAGGGGGTGGAGCAGGACAAAGGGGGCCAGTCATGAGAAATCCCCTGCTTACCACCTGAGATGTCTGCTGGAACTAACACTACCTGGGGAAAGGATCGGGCCCAGACTAGGAAGGAGTCTAATCTGTGAAAGAAGCTTATTGGAACATCCTCTGAGGATGAGATATTACCTGTAATCCTTTTTTTAATGTATTAGGTTTAGACTTGCGTGTTTTTGCTTTATTTTGCTGGGTGACTTACTTTGTTCTGTGTGTTATTACTTGAAACCACTTAAATCCTACTTTTTATACTTAATAAAATCACTTTTCTTTATTAATAAATCTAGAGTAAGTGATTAATACCAAAGGGAGCAAACAGCGGTGCATATCTCTTTATCAGTGTTACAGAGGGTGGACAATTTATGAATTTACTCTATATAAGCTTTATACAGAGTAAAACAGATTTATTTGGGTTTTGGATCCTATTGGGAACTTGGTATCTGGGTGCTGGAGACAAGTAAGCTGCTGAGCTGTTTTCACTTAAAGTCTGCAGCTTTGGGGGCGTGGTTCAGACCCTGAGTCTGTGTTGCAGCAGGTTAGTGTGTCTGGCTCAACAAGACAGGGTTCTGGAAGTCACAAGCTGGCAGGTAAAACAGGTTCAGAGGTATTTTCAGCACATCGGGTGACAGTCCCATGGGGGTCTCTGTGACTGAACCCGTCACACGGTGCCTTTCGTAACCGGAGACCCAGGAATGTGTTAAGGAAAAGTTAGCATATGTGTATATGTGACTCCATTTTGGTTTGGGGCCCACCATTGTCTAAAAGTAAAGACATCATGCACCAGGAGGAGTGTTCCTTAGATACTGCATTCCTTTGAAACCCGCCCCCTTGTTTCCAGCCCATCTCGAATCCCGGTTTCTGTTCTTTGTCTGTTCCTAACTCCCTGCCTCCTGGCCTTGATGCGAGCCTCCCATCCCGATAAGAAAGGCTACTGGTGCATTGCTTTAGGACCATGTTGTTTAGTTGAAGTAATGGTCTAGCACGGGGAATGTACCTAGCATGGATGGGTGGTAGATAAGGGAAGGGTTTGTCTATTGGCTAAGGTTTCCGATGCACTAGGGCAACGTGCTTTGCTAAAAGGTATATAATCTCTGTATAACCTGCATTCGGGGTCCCCTCCTGACTAGCAGGGGGGGCACCACGCTCGAGCATAATAAACTTAGTATCTTTGGGAACTCTGCAGTTGTGACAGGTTTCAGAGTAACAGCCGTGTTAGTCTGTATTCGCAAAAAGAAAAGGAGTACTTGTGGCACTTAGAGACTAACCAATTTATTTGAGCATGAGCTTTCGTGAGCTACAGCTCACTTCATCGGATGCATACTGTGGAAACTGCAGAAGACATTATATACACAGAGACCATGAAACAATACCTCCTCCCACCCCACTCTCCTGCTGGTAATAGCTTATCTAAAGTGATCATCAAGTTGGGCCATTTCCAGCACAAATCCAGGTTTTCTCACCCTCCTGCTATTACCAGCAGGAGAGTGAGTTTGTGGTGGGGGGGGCGGAGGGTGAGAAAACCTGGATTTGTGCTGGAAATGGCCCAACTTGATGATCACTTTAGATAAGCTATTACCAGCAGGAGTGTGGGGTGGGAGGAGGTATTGTTTCATGGTCTCTGTGTATATAATGTCTTCTGCAGTTTCCACAGTATGCATCCGATGAAGTGAGCTGTAATTCACGAAAGCTCATGCTCAAATAAATTGGTTAGTCTCTAAGGTGCCACAAGTACTCCTTTTCTTTCTGCAGTTGTGGACTTTGTTCGTGTGCCTCAGCCTAGACTTAGAGTGTGCGTGACCAATCGGGTGTAATTTGTAACAAATGGGATGCAACCAGGTGACTCTTTGCCCAGGAAACGAGACAAAGACAAGGAGGAGGAGCAATGGGGGTGTCTGACTTTGGGTCGCTGGAAGCTGGCAGTCTGCTTGGGGGGACCCGAAGAGGGGGAGTTCAGGGCATCTGGCCCATGACTCCCTAAGGTGGACTTGGCCGAAAGTCACTGATTTCTGTGCTAATGAGTTCTGTTCTACACCGTGTTTCTGTCGAATAATAAACCTTTTGTTTTACTGGTTGGCTGAGAGTCACGCTGACTGTGGAGCTGGGGGGCAGGGCCCTCTGGCTTCCCCAGAAGCCCCGTCCGGGCAGACTTGCTGCGGGAAGCCCACGGTGTGGAAGGGGATGCTGAATGCTTCGAAGTCAGACCCAAGAAGGTCAAAGTTGTGTGAGCTTCTTGCCCTGGTGGCAGTGTGTCATGGAGTGTGGCGGAGTCAGGGCCCTGCACCCCCACTTCCTGCGATTCACCGTGACTCTCAGCCAGCCAGTAAAACAGAAAGTTTATTGGACGACTGGAACACAGTCCCAAGCAGAGATGGGAGAGGGAGGCAGGGATGAGGGCAAGATTAAACACACCGAGAGAGCTCTGTGTAGTGATGGTTCTTGCTTGGCTTTATTAGTTTGCAGAGGAATCGTTGAGAAGCCCTAGTCGGAGGAGAAGCTGGCAGAAGTGGACCTGAGCATCCTTCTAAGGAGACATGAATAGTCCTCATGTTTCTGCCTTCTGCTTAACTGGCTGTGAGTAAGAAGTCAGTGCTTTGAATTCGTCATCTGTACTCACTGTAGTTTTCCTCACAGGCCGTGTGCTTCCTCGTTGGGTACGAGTCTCTGGGATTAAGGCTGGGGAAGGGACAAGAGTCTCCTGAGCAAAGTGACTATTTTGGGTGCCGTTACAATGGGTATCTTCCAGTTGCAGTTGTAAAGTAGTAATGGGAGATGAGTTAAGGGTGGAGCCCTGGGATACGGGAGATATGAAATGAAGAGACAACGCGACATTGCAGACGGAGATGCTAATTTTTTTTTGTTCCCTCTTCTGCTGGGTTTAGTCCCAAGGGAAAAGAAGACAAGCGTCGGAGTCTACTGCCCTCATGCGATGGAAAGAGAGCGACAAGATCGTGGGCGTTGTTGATGCCATGGAAAAGTCGTCCAACTGGGAGCGGAAGAGCTGCCACCCTCGGTGAGGTAAGTGTCTATTTTGGTGATTGCTTTGCTCACGGCCCACCTCGCTCCTGGTAGGGATGCCCCTTTAGCTGGGGCTGGGTTTGTAAGAAGATGTTCTTGACTAGCTGTGGTTACGAGGGAGATAAGGTCCCCATTTTCAGGGGCTGGTCATGTTGTACCAATAAAATAAAAACCAGCAGGATCTTATTAAAGGGAAAAAGGCAAAATACCACATTTATTGTGAATACAGAAAGAATCATAGTAAGCAGTTAGTTCTAGTTATAACATTCCATTCAATCTCATATTTATTCACACATTCATTCATACAAACACACACACACACACACACACACACACACACACACAGGTTCTGCAAGGTTGTTATCATCGTTACCAGCCTTAGAGTTGCTCATGCCAAGCCACTGGCCAGGTGGCCTGGACATGAGGAGGGAGCAGGGCCTTGTCAGATGCTCATCTGATGCTCCTGGAAGTTGGTTTGCAGAATCAGACCCCAAAGTTCTCACTTTTTAGAGTCTATTTTTATAGGAATTTCTTCCTATGCCAGTCTATGGGAATTGCTTCATCATGCTGTTGCTGAATCAATCAGCAGATAGCACATTCCTGACGGCTCCAAGATGTTATCTTGTTCTTTGGTTCTCCCATTCTTGAGGCTGTTGGGTGGATTCCAGTCTGCCCTCCGGGGGGTCCTCTGGTTATTTCCACTTGATGCCTTCTTCAGCCGATGGACACTGGATTCTTAGGCTGGCACCTCCCCTGATCATTCAGTTATTATCCACACCAAGCATCCATCCACATACATCCTCTATCTCTATTTTAATCACAATTGTTAATACAACAAAAGGGTGGGGAGTCTCTGGGTGCTGTTTCTGTTGTTAGAGTATTGTTTTGAGTCTCTCTCTCTGTGAATTGCTTTGAGAATAGACTCTGTCTTAGAATGTACTAACACAATTAGCAGCTTGCAAGTTTCACACATAGAGGGAGAGAAACAGTACCAAAAACCAAGAGACCTCTTAATTAGTAATACCCTGGAATTTAAACTCTGGGGAATCAAACTCATTTGTGATTTTAATACAGAACTTTTTTAATATGATCCAACAGTCATTTCTCTGGCCAGTGTTACAAATTATACCTGACAGGTCATGCACACAAACTGCTGCGAATTATACCCGATAGGTCACGCACAGTTCGAGTATAGGCTGAGGCACACGAACAAAGTTCACAACTGCAGAATTCCCAAAAATACTAAGTTTATTATGCTCGAGCGCGGTGCCCCCCTGCTAATCAGCAGGGGACCCCGCATGCAGGTTATACAGAGATTATATACCTTTTAGCAAAGCACGTTGCCCTAGTGCATCGGAAACCTTAGCCAATAGACAAACCCTTCCCTTATCTACCACCTATCCCTGCTAGGTACATTCCCCGTGCTAGACCATTACTTCAGCTACACAACATGGTCCTAAAGCAATGCAGCAGTAACTTTTCTTATCAGAATGGGAGGCCCACATCAAGGCCAGGAGGCAGGGAGTTAGGAACAGACAAAGAACAGAAACCAGGAGTCGAGACAGGCTGGAGACAACGGGGGGAGGATTTTCACAGGAATGCAGTATCTAAGAAACACTCCTCCTGGTGCATGATGTGCTTGCTTTTAGACAATGGTGGGCCCCAAAACAAAATGGAGTCACATATGCTAACTTTTCCTTAACACCAGGAGCGGTGTGTCCTCTGCAGCAGAAGGTTCGATCCAGGAGGATGACTCCAGGTGGTGAGTCACTTGCCTTCCTTCCATGTTTTTTCTCTCTGTCTCTCTCTCTTCTCTAGTATGTTGGCCAACACACCCCCCCCCGTACCTTTCTGTCCTTACCTTTCCTTGTGCCTTCTCCCTTCATAGGATACTGGGAGGCATGTTAGGTGTGCATCCCCACAGGCTGTGTCTCGGGAGCCATGAAGAAGTAGGAGTGGATGATAATCATGCAGGGCAGTGCGTGCGAGAGTGGAGCAGTGACTGTCGGTATTAACTTGGTCTCTGTTCATCAAGTGGGGCCAATGTAGATGGAATGGAAGAGGGAGGCAGGAATGAGGGGAAGATCTCAGGCACCAATAGAGCTTTGTGTAGCGATGGCTTCTGCTGCTGCTCTTGCAGAGGAATTGCTGAGGAGCCCTAGCCAGAGGAGAAAGTGGCAGAGATGGACCTGAGCAGCTTGGACATTGTTCTTAGCAGACGTGAACAGTCCTCCACTTTCTGCCTCCCGCTTAACTGGCTGTGAGTAAGTGGTCAGTGCTTTCAGTTCCTCATCTGTACTCGCTGTAGTACTCTTCACAGGCCATGTGCTTCCTTGTTGGGTATGGGGCTCTGTGGTATTAAGGCTGAGGAGGAGCCATGTCTGCTGTGCAGAGTGACCATGTGGGGTGCCATTGCAAGGGGTGCTTTTTGGTTGTAATGCTAAAGGTGTAACGGGAAGAGGGTTGAGGGCAGAGCCCCGCCATGCAGGAGAGGGGAAAAGAAGGGCCAATGAGATGTTGCCGACTGAGATGGTAACTGATTTGTTTTTCTCCCTTGTGCTGGGTTTAGTACCAAGGGAAAAGAAGTCGCGTGCCAGAGTCTACTGCCCTCATGCGATGGAAAGCGAGTGACAGTGATAAGACCGTGAGTATTGTTGATGCCACGCAAAAGCTGTCCAACTGGGAGCAGAACTGCTGCCACTCTGAGATAAGTGTCTGTTTTGGTGATTGCTCTGCTCGTGGCCCACCTGGCTCCAGGTATGGACGCTCCTTTAGCTAAGGCTGGGTTTGTAAGGAAAGGTTCCTGACTAGCTGTTGTTATGAGGGAGACAAGGTCCCCATTTTCAGGGGCTGCTCATTTCTCTGGCCAGGAGCAGTGTGTCCTCCGCAGCAGAAGGTTGCATCTAGGAGGATGACTTCATGTGTTGAGTTGCTTGCCTTCCTCCAATGTTTTTCTCTTTCTTTCTCTCTACTCTAATGTGTTGGCCAGCTCTCTGTCTCCTCTCCTCTCCTTGTGCTGTCTCCCTTCTTAGGACGCAGGCAGGGGTACTAGGTTTGCATCCCGACAGGTGAGGTCTCGGGAGCCCTGGAGAAGTTGGAGCAGATGAAAATCATGCGTGGCAGTCGGTGTTGACTCGGTCATCGAGTGGGGCCAGTGTAGATGGGTTTGGAGAGGGAGGCAGGGATGAGGGCAAGATTTCAAGCACCGGTAGAGCTTTGTGTACTGATGGCTCATGCTTGGCTTTTGCAGCTGCTCTTGCAGAGGAATTGTCCAGGAGCCCAGCCAGAGGAGAAGGTGCAGAGGTGTAGCTGAGCAGCTTGGGCATCCTTCTAAGGAGACATGAACAGTCCTCCCCTTTCTGCCTCCCGCATAACTGGCTGTATGTAAGCAGTCAGTGATTGGAATTCCTCCTCTGTAGTTGTTTTTTGTCACAGGCAGTGTGCTTGCTTATTGAATATGGGGCTCTTTGGTATTTAAGGCTGGGGAAGGTATCACACTTACAGTTGCCATCTTTCACGGGGTAAATAAGCACCCCGACTTTCACAATAAACCAAAAATCAAGCTAATCCCATTTCAAAACAAGGAATCTGTAAGAACCCAAACACTCTGTGACTAGATCCCCCCGGTGTGCAGTCTGGGAGTGTGGTGGGCCCACTGTGCACCCCTGATTCTCTCCCCCACTTTGCCTCTCCTTGCCCTGTGCCCTTGCTTGCCAGGAGCCAATTTAAAAAAAAGAAGTAACAAACTGCAAGGTAAACAAGCAACAAGCCAGCATCCAAAAACTCGCCAAGAAGCAACTCTCAAGCCAATTAAGTGAAAAACAAGCCCAATTTCTGCATTTTCCCCACAGGTTTGGTATTTTTTACCAGAGTCTGCTGTGCAGAGTGACTATTTTGGGTGTCATTGCTGGGGTGCTTCTACTTGTAGTCCTGAAGGTGTAATGGGAAGGGGGTTGAGGGCAGAGCCCTGGGGTGTGTTAGATGCAAGAAGAAGAGCTTATGCCACATTGCCATCTGAGAGGCTAACTTCTTTGTTTTTCTCCCTTGTGCTGGGTTTGGTACCAAGGGGAAAGAAGCCAAATGACAGAGTTTACTCCACTCGTATGATGGAAAGCAAGCGAGAGCAGGGAGACTGTGAGCCTTGTTGAAATGAGGCTGGAGCCGTACATTTGGGAGTGGAGCAGCCACCAGTGTCAGTGAGATAAGTGATATATTTTATGCGAGATAGTCTTTTAAGGTATCATTGGAAAGGTTATAATTTACTGCATGTGATTATCCAATTTGGATGCATGTATCATTTCTGTATCTAAAGTTGGAAATATTGACTATGTAACAATTACAACCGGGTGTATACTTGGGAAACACCCACCAGACAACACGCCATCAGCCTTGATGGGCCATTAGGAAGAAACAATAAGACTGTGAAAGACACTAATCTCTCTCCTTCCTGAGACGCATCCTGGGATGTAGCTGTGATGCTACTAGGTCAGGTGGTCCTGTCACCTGGTACTAAATGCTATGTTGGACTTCTAGTAATTTTCCACTAAAAGGAGGGGGAGGTCAAGACTGGGAAACAAAAGATTCCCGCCTTATGTAAATCTTACTTAAGGCTGGGGAGTAATGCAAACAGGTCTCTTCTCCGTTGCCTTCTTGTCAAAGCAGAAAGACTGCTAAAAGTACCTGAAGGGACAAAGGAACCGAGCAGGGGGAAAGTCCAGGGCTGAGTCCAGACTAAGACAGCAGTCTGCTCTGTAAAGAGAAATAACTGGAAATCTCAGCTACAGAAACCCTGCAACTTGCCTAAAAACAACGTTTAGGGTGAGAAATCACTTCCTGAGTCCAGTCTCTTTAAGATCTTAGGCTTAGTATTGCATGTTTGTTTTATTTGCTTAGTAATCTGCCTTTTTCTGTTTGCTATCCCTTACAATCACTTTAAATCTTCTTCCCTTATAGTTAATAATAAACAAAAACAAGTTCATTAAACCCAGTTTGTGCAATTTCTAACGGGGGTGGGGCAAAAGTTGTGCATATCTTCCTCCACATTGAGGGAGGGGGTGAATTTATGAGCTTATGTTGTATAGATTTCTCTACGGCCCAAGACAATATTATTTTGGGTGTACTTTCCAGAGGGGAACTGCACTTGAGTGCTGGGAGATATCATAGCTGAGTCTTCTCGTAGAGAGCTGTTGACAGACTCTGTGCGATTCTACAGCTGGTGCGTCCCTACGTGTGTGTGTGTGTGTGTGTGCTGCCAGAGGCTGGAGAGCCTAAGTCAGCAAAACAAGGAGAGGGAGGCCAGGCTAGTGCAGCAGCAGGCTCAGAGAAATCCCAGTACATCAGGTGGCATCCCAGAATGGGGGTCAAACCCGTCCGTGGCCCGGTCCGCACGGCCGCCCTTGGCCCCAAGGTTGTCGGTGTTGCTTCCGACGTACCGTGGAGGCACTGACGGACAGTCTTCCGTGTTCCTTCTGTCACGGTGTTCCGTCCCTCTCCCCCTCTGAAGCGCCCTCGGAGGGTGGAGGTGCCCTGCGGTCCCACCACCAGGTTGCCCCCCAGGGCAGTGGAGGGTCGGCGCCGCCCGCGGCCCAGCCGCCGTTCAACCCGGGGCCAAGGGTTCCCCTGTAAGTTCCCCAACGGCCAGTGGATGTCTTGTACGCAGTGGGAAAAAGGCTTGTGTACCGACATCGTTGCCAGGAAGTTGACAGTGCCCCCGTCCGTCCCTTCAAAGGAAAAGTTGGCTACCCCAACGCCCCGGTGTCGTTCCTCCATGGGGAAAACTGTGTTCCAAGGCCACTGTCCACGCTTCCCCGGAGAACGTGACCCTGTCCAGATCAGGGTACCTGTTATCGTATCCACAAAAACAATAAGGGTCGTGTCCTTAAAGCGAACGTTTATCTGGGCATAAGCTTTGTGGGTAAAAACGACTCTTCAAACGGAGTGAAAATACATGGGCAAATTGTGCACGAAGGGGGAGTTCCTCACAAGTGGAGAAGAACCAGTGTTGACAGGGCCAATTCGATCAGGGTGGATATAGTCCACTCCCAATAATTGATTAGGAGGTGTCAATTCCAGGAGAGGCAAAGCTGCTTTTGTAGTGAGCCAGCCAGTCCCTACTCAAGCCCAAATTAATGGTGTTAAATTTGCAAATGAATTTTAGTTCTGCTGTTTCTCTTTGAAGTCTGTTTCTGAAGTTTTTTTGTTCGAGTAATGTACAGTTGCTCCATGAAGGAAATGCTCTGTGCGTTACCCCGAGTATCCACCCGGTGTCAGTCTTCTCAATGTGGGAAATGCTTTGAGCATCCCCCAAGTGGCCACCCAGTGTCACTCTTGCTCCATTAGGGAAATGCTGTGTGCATTCTCCCAAGAGGCCGGGGGGGGGAAGGGGGAGGGGGGGGGGGGGCCGGCGGGCGGGCCCCCGGGGAACCCAGGCGGCGCCCAAGCCGGGGGGACGGTAAAGCGGACAAAGTCCCACTAAAAAAGACGAAGGAAACCGGCATCGGAGGATAGGAAAGGGCCACAAGGGCCGAGGGAAAAAAATCTCATTTTCCCCCCCAGGAGAAAGCCCCCAAGGGCCTTATCTTTGAAACCGGGACGAACAGAACGCCCCAAAAAACCCAACCCAAAACATATTGCCCCTGCACGGGGGGCAATGCATTATACTAGTTATCCTTTTAGAAGCCCTGCTCAAACCAGCCATAGACAACCTTCCCTTATTCTACCTATCCCGCTATACGCCCTAGCTTACTTCAACACCAAAGCTATCGGGGGGCTCAAGGGAAAAGAAAGAAAAAGGGGTCTCCTCCAGTGCTCTAGCCAACCAAGGTCAATATGAAAGGTAGCCCAAAAAGGGGAACCAAACCCACCAAGAGAGGGACCGCCATATCATTGCCTTCTATGCAGTAGTGGTGGGGGAAAGCGTGGTTCCGCTTAGAATTCCCCCATATAAGTCAAAGAGTATGGGATGAAGAATAAGGTGGATAGAAAGCAGCTTCAAAGTCCCGTGAGGGAGGGTGGTCTGGGGGTTTGTTAATATTTGTATGTCGGAGGGGGTTCTCGGAAAGGGGGGGGGTGGAGGGGGGGGCCCAAAGGGCAAAAAACAAAGAGGCAGAAACACAGACAGGATTCGCAAAAGGAGGGTTACAGGAAAAAGAAGATAAGGGCCTGCAAGAAGAAATTTTGAAGAAGGCCTCCTCTTGCTCATTTCTTAAGAAGGTGAAAAAGGGGGCGGGCAAAAAAATTATTAGGGGAAAGTCTGAGAGGGGAGGGAATGGTTGTTTAGTTTAGAAGAGAAGAGTGAGGGGGTTTGATAGGTTTTAATGTAAAGGGGGTTCAAAGAGACAAGTTCTCAGTGGTAGGGTGAGAGAGGAGTATGGTCAAGTTGAGTGGGGGAGGTTTGGTTGGATATTAGGAAAATTTTCACTAGGAGGGTGGTGAAAATGGAATGTTATAGGGAGGTGGTGAATCTCCTTTTAGAAGTTTTTAAGGTCAGGTTGAAAGCCTGGCTGGATAATTCAGTTGGGGATCGGTCCTGTTGAGAGGGGTTGGAAGATGACCTCCTGAGGTCTCTTCCAACCCTGATAATCTATGATTGTCACTGTTGTTGCATAAGGGAAATGCTTTGTGCATTTGTGCAACTGGGGTCACACAGTGTCAATGTTGTTCATGAGGGAAATGGGTTGTGCATTAATTGCCTCTCTTCCTTGGTGAGGGAAATGGTTTGTGCATTACCTGGATTGGCCACCTGGTTTCACTCTTGCTCCATGTGGGAAATATTTTAGTGAGAGGTGATTAGGTAATGCAAATTCTCATGGGAACAATGACAGTGGGTGGTCACTCAGGGTAATCCACAGTTGTTCCACGAAGGAAATGCTTTGTGCATTACCTGTATTAGCCACCCTGTGTCACTGTTGCTCCATGAGATAAATGCTGTGTGCATTAACCTGAGTGGCCATCCGGTGTCACTGTTTCTCCTTGAGGGAAATGTTTTGTGGATTACTCCATGGTCACCCAGCGTCACTGTTGCTCTATGGGGAAAATCCTCTGTGCATAACCCCGCCCTTCCACCTAGTGTTACTGTTGTTCCAGGGAAGCTGCAGGCTGAGTTGCCTGTAAGGGTATGTCTATGCTGGCATTGAAGGACAAAACTTTTTTTTTTCAGAAGTGTTAACCCCCTTCCCCATCCCTCGACCCCGAAAGTAAAAGTTTTGCCACTACAAGTACCAGTGTGAACCACGCATTGTTGGCAGGAGCACTCTCCTGCTCGCAATACAAATGCCGATCGTTGGGAGTGGGAGTTTTTTGTTGGCAGGAGAGACGACAAACAGTGGCTACACTTCATGGCTTTTAGCAGCAGGGCTGAAGCCTAAGGGTATGTCTGCACTACCCGCCGGATCAGCGGGTAGTGATGGATGTATCGGGGGTCAATTTTAGTCTAGACGTGATAAATCCATCGTGAGAGGCGCAAGCAGAGTCGACGGGGGAGCGGTGGCAGTCGACCCAGTGCCGTGAAGACGCCGAGGTAAGTTGACCTAAGATACGTCGACTTCAGCTACGCTATTCTCGTAGCTGAAGTTGCATATCTTAGGTTGATCCCCCCCCGCCCCGACCCAGTGTAGACCAGGGCTTAGATAAATGCATGGTAGAGCCTGAGTACAGGCGGCTGCTTCCCTTTAAGTGAGACTTGATTTCTCATAAAAGTTTTCTTCCTTGTTCTGGGTGTGGGAGGTGAATTTCCCTATTTTGTGAGTAGGTGTGGGTTTATGACCAGGGGAAGAGACAACAGTCTTCTCTGCACAGTGACTCTCTTGAATACAGGTGCAAAGGGCTGCTTAACATATGAACGTAAGAATGGCAATTTGGGGTCAGACCCAAGGTCCATCTAGCCCACTATCCTGTCTTCTGACTGGCTAATGCCAGGTGCTTCAGAGGGAATGAATAGAACAGGTAATCGAGAAGTGATCCATCCTGTGTTGCCCATTCCCAGCTTCTGGCAAACAGAGGATAAGGACACCATCCCTGCCCATCCTGACTAATAGTCATTGATGGACCTATTCTCCATGAATTTACCTAGTTCTTTTTTGAACCCTATTATAGTCTTGGCTTTCACAGCATTCTCTGGCCAGCAATTCCACAGGTTGAGTGTGTGTTGTGTGCTTTTTAATTGTATCTATGAAGGTCTAATGGGAGAGGGAGAAGAACCACTGACACAACATTGCAGATTCCGATGATAACTTTTGTTTTTCCCTCTTGTGTTGTGCTTCGTGTCAAGGGTAAGAGCCCACCCCTGTTGTGAGATGGAAAGCGTACAAGAGCCATGAGACACTGAGCATTGTTGATGCCAGGCTACGGTGATGCCGTCTAGCTGGAAGCAGAGCAGCCATCGCTGTCAGTAAGATAAGTGTCTGGTTTGGTGAGGAGTCTGGTCACGGTGCACCTAGCTCCAGGCAGGGATGTGCCATTAGCTAGGTCTGTGTTTGTAAGAAAAGGTTCCTGACTAGCTGTGGCTACGAGGGAGACAAGGCCCCCATTATCAGGGGCTGCTCATCTGTCTGGCCAGGAGAGGTGTGTCCACTGCAGCAAAAGGTTGGATCCAGGAGGATGACTGTAGCTGGTGAGTTTCTTGCCTTCCTCCCCTGTTTCTCTCTCTCTCTTCTCTACTCTAGTGTGTTGGCTGACACACTTTGTCTGTCTGTGCTTGTTTCTCTTTCTTTGGTCTCCCTTCATAGCACATGGGCAGGCGTGCATCCCCATTGGCTAGGTCTCGGGAGCCTTGAAGAAGTAGGAGGGGACAAAAATCACGCGGGGGAGCACGCGCGAGAATGGAGCATCACTGTCAGTGTTGACTGAGTCTCTGTTCATCAAGTGGGGCCGATGTAGATGGGATGGGAGAGGGAGGCAGGGATGAGGGCAAGGTTTTGCGCACCAATTGAATTTTGTGGAGTGATGGCTCCTGCTTGGCTTAATTGTGGTGCTTGCAGAGGAATCGTCGAGCAGCAGCTGCAGGAGAAGCTGGCAGAGGTTGACCTGAGCAGCCTGGACATTCTTGTAAGCGAAGATTAACAGTCCTCCGCTTTCTGCCTTCCGCATAACTGACTGTGAGTAAGCGGTCAGTGCTTTGAATTCCTCATTCTGTACTCACTCTAGTTTTCTTCACAGGCTGTGAGCTTCCTCATTGGGCATGGGGCTCTATGGGATTAAGGCTGAGGAAGAAGCAAGTCTCCTCTGCAGAGTCACTATTTCAGGTGCTGTTGCTACAGGTGTTTTCTATTTGTAGTTATAAAGGCATAGTGCAACGGGGGTTGAGGGCAGAACCCTGGTGTGTGGGAGATGCGAGAAGAGCAGTGTTGCTGACTGAGATGCTAATTTTACTGTCTCCCCCCCACCCTCCCTTGTGTTGGGTTTAGTACCAAGGGAAAAGTGGTGGGTCAGAGTCCACTCCCCTCGTGTGAGGGAAAGCGAAGGCAAGCTATGAGGGCTCTACTCACAGTCCACCTGGCTCCAGGCTGGGACTTTTTGTTAGCTGGTGCTTAGTGTGTAGGAAAAGGTTCGTGACTAGCTCTGGTTACGAGGGAGACAAGGCTCTTATTTTCAGGGGCTGCTTTTTTCTCTGACCAGGAGTGGAGTGTTCTCCCCAGCAGGAGGTCAGTCCAGCCACTGAGATGCTTTTCTTCCTTCCATGTTTCTCTCTCTCTCTCTCTCTCTCTCTCTCTGTCTTCTGTGGCCAACACAGACGTGCATGCTCCCTCTTCTTGCCTCTTCTGGTACTGTCTCCCTTCACAGAAATTGGGCATGGATGCTGTTTGTGTGTCCTCACAGTCTTGGATGTAAGAGCCGGCAGGATGGGGGCAGGAAAGCCTGTTAGAGCTGGCAGAAGGGGGGCGTAAAAGGCCATTTGACCCATCAAGTGTTTAGTCCGTGTCTTTTACTGCAATGGAGGTGATGTAGTACAGATGGGAGAGGGAGGCAGGTACTGGAAGATCTCATGCACCTATAGCCTTTCTGGCAGCGATGGCTCTTCCATAGGTGTTTTGTTGTTCTTGCAGAGGCATGCTCCAGGCCAGTGCAGCAGCCCCAGACAGAGGAGGAGCATGTGGAGGAAGTGGACCTGCACAATCTAGACATTTCACTTGCCAACGGAGCTGAGGAGGTCTCTTGTGATGTTGGAGGAGCAGGTGTTTGTTTGTGAAATATCTCTCTCCAGTATCTTCATAGTGAGGTGCTTCCTTGAGAACAGAGAGATGCTTCTCATTTCCATGGGATGTGTCCTGGGGAAGGTACAGCTCTGCCCATGGCTGGTAATTGTCTGGGATTGTCCCTTTCCTGGAGGGCTGTAGTTCCTTGGGAGTGATGAGCATTTTAGGCCCTGGGTGGGCTGAAGAGGAATAAAGAACGGGGCTCCAATGAGCAGAAGTTAGTTACACCTGTGTTTCTGTCTGTCTTCCATGCACCAGTGGTGGCCTAGCTTACAAGTGTTCTCTCTTTCTCTTTTCAGTTCCTCATGAGATTGGGTAGATGAGAGAATGGCCAACCTGTGGCAGAGACCTAAGAAGGAGCAGCCACCCTGAGCCCATCCCTAGGGATTGAAGCCAGACAGTGATCTGCAGAGTAAGAGCAAATAGGAATTTGCTTCAGTTAAGTATTGAGGGAGGGCTGCAAAGACTTCTTGTTGGTGGAGAGAATTTGTTAGTATGGGGTTGGCCCCTGAGGAAAGGCCTCTGAATCTAGCTGGCGCGGGACCCGCACCCGAGCGGCTCTTAAGGTCTGTGAGTTGTCGAAGGGCAGCAGGGAACTGAGGAGCAGCCACAGCCCTGGAACCCCCAACTGGTACAGGGACAAGATGGGGGAACATTTTGGCAGCCTGCATCATTGCACCACCTAGAGCAGCAGTTGCCCCATCCTTCCTGGCTCTGACTTGAAGCTTCTGGCCTCTGACCTGGTGAATAATGTTCTCTGTAAAACATGAAACACTCTGCGTTCCGTCTCTGCCTTGGTTCCAGGGATGGGTGGCCATGGTAAATCCCTCATCCCATTGTTAGTGTCGCTCTCACAAAACCAGCAACATCTGTTCAGTAGCATCCCCTGCTTTCAAATCACGATGGCCACCATATTGTGTTACGACCATTTCTCCCAAACAAAGAAAGGTCCCCGTGCCTTGTCAATTCAGTTCACCTAAAATAGGCGGTGTCTCGTAGCCTCATTCCCATTTTTGAGAGACACACTGAGCCTGTGCTGCCACAGAATCAAGCCCCCGTCCTGTACTCAATATGAGTCACATCTTTGGATCTAGGACAGAGGTGGGCAAACTACGGCCCGTGGGACCGTCCTGCCCAGCCCCTGAGCTCCTGGCCTGGGACGCTCGCCCCCGGCCCCTCTCTCGCAGCCTCGGCTCACTGCTCCGCTGGCGCAACATTCTGGGCGGGGGTCTGCGAGCTCCTGGGGCAGCGCAGCTGTAGAGCCCGGCCTGACCCGGTCTCTGTGCCGTGCAGCGTGGCTGCCTCTCCTGGTGCAGCCGTGCCGCCAGCCACCGGCGCTCCAGGCAGCATGGTTGGGAGGCACGGAGCCAGGGGGTTGGATAGAGGGCAGGGGAGTTGAGGGTGGTGGTCAAGGGGCAGGGGTGTGGATAGGGGTTGGAGGGATGGGGCAGTCAGGGGCAGGGGTTCTGGGGGCGGTCAAGGAGAAGGGGTGGTTGGATGGGGCAGGGGTCTGGGGGGGGCAGTCAGGAAGGAGAGAGGGGAGTTGGATGGGGTGGCGGGAGGCAGTTAGGGGCAGGGAGTCCTGGGGTGGTCAGGAGGACAGAGAGCGGGGGGTGAATGGGGCAGGGGTCCCCGGGGGCCATCAGGGAACAGGGGGGTTGGATGGGGCAGGAGTCCCAGGGGGACTGTCAGGGGGTGAGAAGCAAAGGGGGGTCGGGCCATACCTGGCTGTTTGGGGAGGCACAGCCTCCCCTAACCGGCCCTCCAGACAATTTCAGAAACCCGATGCGGCCCTCGGGCCAAAAAGTTTGCCCGCCCCTGATCAAGGAGCTAGAACCGAGCCAGGGTAACTGAAACAAGATGAGTTATGTGAATTTTGATGATATAAACAAGCCCACACACTTGAAAACTCTACAATTCAATCCAAATTTCGTGAAATAATTACTTGAAAAATACAAAAGAAACAAAATGCATCCAAACCAAAAAACACAGAAATTGAAACAGATAGTTGTTAAGTTTGTGTTGTGTAGCCACTCAAAGTCCCCTTTTCAAAAAGACAACATCAATTGCAGTTTTTTATGCTCTCAACCGCTTTTTTCTTGGTGTGGAAAAAAATTAGTTCTTTCATTTACTTGTGAATCGTGGCATGCTAAGACTACAATTGGAAAGCCAATTGTGAGAGTGCTTTTGCTTAAAAAAATTGAAGGGTTAACCATTTATAATTATTTTTTCATATGTTAAATGCTTGCTTGTTTTTCTTTTGTTTATATTACAGTGTGTCATTTTTATAACTGGTAAAACTTAGTAACCCTAAAGTGTTTTAAAATGTGATTAAGGTTTCTGAAAAAGCATTAAAAACCCAAACTTTACTTGCTTAACCACATGGCTTTCAACTTAGCTTAAATCAGAGCTGCTATCACACTACTGTTTTGTTAGCTACCTATAATTTGTCACATGACCTACAAGGATAGTTACAGAACCACACTTCTGTGTGTTGGTTTCATAATGATACTTTTCTTTCATGCACTGTTGTTTAAGCAATGGGCTGTTGTTATTATTTTTTCCACTTTTTTCCCTGTTAACTGCTTTTGGGTGTAGGAAATGGCTTGTAACTACAAAAAGTGGTCCCAAAAACATCAGCTGACTGCTGATGGTTAAAAAAAAACAAAACTCAAATTCCACAAGGATAAATTAGGATGCCAAGTAAGCAAGTTTAGCCATTGGTGCATAACATGTTAATAGTCTGTATGAATGTGCAGCTTTAAATATGCAAGCGGTGAAACAAATGATGATCTTTACCCATTTTCAGTTTACAGCCCAAAGTATCTAATAAAAGGTGATGTGCTGCTAAACATCTTACAACTTAATATCAGTTTTTAGTTTCTTTTTAGCTACACATAAATTATGTCTTCACTTTGATGGCTTAATGACCTCAAATCCACAATGTTTCTTGGAATTTTCTACTATTTAGTCAAATCAAAATTGGAAAGTCAAAGTTCAAAGAAAGGAGCTTTGCATGCCTTAAATTATAATAAGCAAAGGAGAACTTATGGCACCTTAGAGACTAACCAATTTATTTGAGCATAAGCTTTCGTGAGCTACAGCTCACTTCATTGGATGCAAGCTGTAGCTCACGAAAGCTTATGCTCAGATAAATTGGTTAGTCTCTAAGGTGCCACAACTACTCCTTTTCTTTTTGCGAATACAGACTAACACGGCTGTTACTCTGAAACCTTAAATTATAATGAAGCCCACTGATTGGAGAACTGTATCACAAATTGTGACTCAAAGCCATAATGATTAGATTATGTTTTCTTTTCTACAAAAAGCAAAATTTGTGTAACTTTTGTTCAAGGTTGAATCGATTTGTGTATTGTGGAGTTCAATGATGAGACAGAACACAGATATTATGCAAGCAAGCAGGCGGGGAGGGGTCCCCTTCTCACCTTCTTTTATTATATTTCTCTCCCTAATTACACACGGCTACTCCAAAGGAGTATGAGTTGATGAACAACTTATTTAATTTTGTCTACTACAATCCTGGTTAGCCCCAAAGAAAGCTCTTACTGTCCCAAAATAAGTTTATGGTTCATATCTAGTTGTCCTTGGATAGAGCAATGTGTGAATTCTTTACAAAAAACAGGGTGCCCCCCCAGTGATAAAAAATACCCTTAGTGTATCATCTTTGATATCTGTAGAGACCATGCATTTTACAAGGTGAAGGTGGGACAGATTTGTTAGTAATGGTCATGTATACCTCCAATATACCCGATATAAGACAGATACAGCCAGTGGAAATGAGAGCAGGGAACACACATGCTTGGAACCAAACAAATCAAAGCTAGGTTAAGCGGGCAAAGTAAAAATGAATTTCCCTTGCATAGATCACAGTGAGTCAAAAGTATAAGGAGAGAAGAAAAATCACCTCTCTCCTCCGCTCTTCACCACTCATAGCAGCAACAGCACCTAAAGAAACACAACTGGTGGACGGGTCCTAGCCTGGAGGCCTCTAGATAGTACAGACTGTGAAGAGCATACAGTAAGAAAAAGCTTAGCTTTGAATCCATTCAACTTGCTAAGTTAGGTATTGCTGTGCGTTTTATCTTATTTTCTTTTTAACCAATTCTTGCTTTCATGCCTCAGTATTTGCAATCATTTAAAACAGAGGATCTCAAACTTTTTGGCCCGGGACCCCCTTTTGAAAATATTGCAGGCTGCGACAACCTCCCTCCCCATACTGTGCCACCCTTACTTACGCGCTGCCTTCAGAGCTGGGCAGCCAGAGAGCAGCAGCCGCTGACCTGACCTGGCATGGCATGGTACTGCCACCTGTACTTCTGCACTGCTGCTGGCAGCGGTGCTGCCTTTGCAGCTGGGTGCCCAGCCAGCAGCCCCCACTCGCCAGCCCCCCAGCTCTAAAGGCAGAGCACAAGGTAGACTGGCAATGCCGCAACCCCCCTTACCATCAGGACCTCCAGTTGGAGACTTTTAACTACAGAAGACTGCTGACTTTTAACTACAGAAAGAAAGATTAACAATAAAACAATTGTATTTGCTAAGCAGTGCATTTGGGACCTTCCACTTGAGATAACATGGCTTGTGCATATCATTTTCTATTAATGAAACGACAGCCTTTATATGAGCTCACACTGTCCGCTCGTGTCCCGGGCAGTACAAGATGCACATTGCTGGGGGTGGGGGGAGTCTGAGATTGGGAATTTGCTGCTCTTCTTCTGCAGCGTAACATGCGCGTGGCTGGTTGCCGGCATTCACACTGTATAGCTGGGAGTAATTCACAGCCTGGAGGCTGTGTACGAACTGACTGCTAGTGGTGCTTCTCACAGCAAAGCAGTGTAAAAAGCACTCCAGGTTGGAGAACTAAGGGGACGCATCTGTTCAACAGTCTAGATCAGGGCTTCTGCCCCACTGCGCGGGGGGCTGTGGTGGGCTCCAGGCTTCAGCCACCAGATTGGAGGGCTGGGGGCTTCTGTCCCACGGGAGGCCAGTGCTTGGGGCTCCCAGCTTTAGCCCTGCGCAATGCCAGGTCTTCTACCCCATGGGGCATCAGGGCTCACAGACCTGTAGTTGGGACTCGCTGGTGTAGATTGTACGCTGTGGAATGTCACACATAGGTAAAATGTTTTTTGCTTATTTATTAACTACGTGGCTAACGGCTTAATATGTTGTTAAAAAGTAAGTAAATAACCTTTACAGTGGTCAGTTTTTTAAAAAACATTTGTTTACTAATTTGCTGTAATTTAACTACAGGCCAAAACCGTTGTTCTGGAATGACTGCAACAACGGTGCAGTTATTATTTTAGACAGTTTTATGTTCTAAGCTTTAATAATTTAGAATCATAGAATATCAGGGTTGGAAGGGACCTCAGGAGGTCATCTAGTCCAACCCCCTGCTCAAAGCAGGACCGATCCCCAATTAAATCATCCCAGCCAGGGCTTTGTCAAGCCTGACCTTAAAAACTTCTAAGGAAGGAGATTTCACCACCTCCCTAGGTAACGCATTCCAGTGTTTCACCACTCTCCTAGTGAAAAAGTTTTTCCTAATATCCAACCTAAACCTCCCCCACTGCAACTTGAGACCATTACTCCTCGTTCTGTCATCCGCTACCACTGAGAACAGTCTAGAGCCATCCTCTTTGGAACCCCCTTTCAGGTAGTTGAAAGCAGCTATCAAATCCCCCCTCATTCTTCTCTTCCGTAGACTAAACAATCCCAGCTTCCTCAGCCTCTCCTCATAAGTCATGCGTTCCAGTCCCCAAATCATTTTTGTTGCCCTCCGCTGGACTCTTTCCAATTTTTCCACATCCTTCTCACAGTGTGGGGCCCAAAACTGGACACAGTACTCCAGATGAGGCCTCACCAATGTCGAATAGAGGGGAACGATCACGTCCCTCGATCTGCTGGCAATGCCCCTACTTATACATCCCAAATGCCATTGGCCTTCTTGGCAACAAGGGCACACTGTTGACTCATATCCAGCTTCTTGTCCACTGTAACCCCTAGGTCCTTTTCTGCAGAACTGCTGCCTAGCCGTTCGGTCCCTAGTCTGTAGCGGTGCATTGGATTCTTCTGTCCTAAGTGCAGGACTTTGCACTTGTCCTTATTGAACCTCATCAGATTTCTTTTGGCCCAATCCTCCAATTTGTCTAGGTCCCTCTGTATCCTATCCCTACCCTCCAGTGTATCTACCTCTCCTCCCCGTTTAGTGTCATCTGCAAACTTGCTGAGGGTGCAATCCACACCATCCTCCAGATCATTTATGAAGATATTGAACAAAACCGGCCCCAGGACCGGCCCTTGGGGCACTCCGCTCGATACTGGCTGCCAACTAGACATGGAGTCATTGATCACTACCTGTTGAGCCCGACAATCTAGCCAGCTTTCCATCCGCCTTATCGTCCATTCATCCAGCCTCATACTTCTTTAACTTGCTGGCAAGACTACTGTGGGAGACCGTGTCAAAAGCTTTGCTAAAGTCAAGGAACAACATGTCCACTGCTTTCCCTTCATCCGCAGAGCCGGTTATCTCGTCATAGAAGGCAATTAGATTAGTCAGGCATGACTTGCCCTTGGTGAATCCGTGCTGACTGTTTCTGATCGCTTTCCTCTCCTCTAAGTGCTTCAGAATTGATTCCTTGAGGACCTGCTCCATGATTTTTCCAGGGACTGAGGTGAGGCTGACTGGCCTGTAGTTCCCAGGATCCTCCTTCTTTCCTTTTTTAAAGATGGGCACTACATTAGCCTTTTTCCAGTCGGGGACTTCCCCCGATCGCCATGAGTTTTCAAAGATAAAGGCCAATGGCTCTGCAATCACATCCGCCAACTCCTTTAGCGCTCTCGGATGCAACGCAGCTGGCCCCATGGACTTGTGCACGTCCAGCTTCTCTAAATAGTCCCAAACCACTTGTTTCTCCACAGAGGGCTGGTCACCTCTTCCCCATGCTGTGCTGCCCAGCGCAGCAGTCTGGGAGCTGACCTTGTTCGTGAAGACAGAGGCAAAAAAAGCATTGAGTACCTTAGCTTTTTCCACATCCTCTGTCACTAGGTTGCCTCCCTCATTCAGTACGGGGCCCACACTTTCCTTGACTTTCTTCTTGTTGCTAACATACCTGAAGAAACCCTTCTTGTTACTCTTAACATCTCTTGCTAGCTGCAACTCCAGGTGTGATTTGGCCTTCCTGATTTCACTCCTGCATGCCTGAGCAATATTTTTGTACTCATCCCTGGTCATTTGTCCAATCTTCCACTTCTTGTAAGCTTCTTTTTTGTATTTAAGATCAGCAAAGATTTATTGCAGTTTGCTCACGATCACAGGTCCTTGTACTATTTAAAGCAGTCTTAGTTTTACTAACTAGTACTCATTTCAGTTATGCCCGTGATGGTTCGTCTGCACCCCAGTTGGGGATATTTGTGAAAGAGAGAAGGAGGACCCAAAATAAGAGACAGTGACCTCATCGTTAGCTGTCCTCCTCTGTCTGTACTCACGGCAACAAGATCGCTTGATGGACAATTGGAGCATCACTGAACTGTGGGGAGGGCGGTTGTGGCTGGAAGTCTTTCCAGTTAGTATGAACTGTTGTAAGCTGTTGGGTGAGAAATCTTTTGGCTTTGAAATGGTATTTAGCTTGGTGATGTTTAGGAATTGGTTACAAAAGAAATAAAATGTGTAAGGCCATAAAATTCAGAATTGGTTTGTGATTTTATCCTTGTAAGTGATATTTTCCTAGTTAATAGACCTGTTGCGTCGAAGCAGCGTGTTGCGGTCGATGTATTTGGGGAATCTCTAGTTAGGTTAACAGAGGCTCGGGCATAATCGTTTCCTTGGATGACGTGATGGACTAATAATGAGCTTGTTCTGTGCAGTAGTGTGCTGGACAGTTAAAGATGCACATTTCTGGGGTCCAAGGCCAGGACTGAAAATGTGTGTATGTCACCCTGTACATCGTTTGTGAGCGGCTGGGAGCGACTGTACATGTTCATGTATGTGTTTGAGCAGAGAGTGGAGAGGCTGCTTTTCACTAGCCAAGCACAGTTCAAGGGAGACAGGAGTTGAGCGGTTCAGGTTCTACCCTGGGGAATGTCACCGGGGGTCACTTTGATTGGTATGTGGGCTATTTCTTGTTTCTGTGGGGGACGGTATACAGTGGATTTGGGGTGTTGCTTGTTTTTCACGGAACACACCCTTGACGGGACTTGGGGCATTTTATGTTCAGACAGGTTACTGTTGATTGAATGTATGCCACTTAAAGGCTGGGGATAAATTTAGTTATGGAAGGAGGGCTACTTCCTGTTTATATGGAAGAGAGACCATTTTCATTGGGTGGGTAGGGAACACTAGCGATGGAATGAGGAACATTTTCCTAGTCAAAGGAGACAGTTTTTGGGGACATGAGTTTTTCACACAAGCTCATGATGGGGAGGAGGGTTTTTTTTTCCTGTAACTGCTGGTTCAAAGGCTTTGGGAGTTGGGGAAAGAGGAGTGCTCACAGCTGGCCCCCCTCCTGCCCCTTTGGAATGAGTTTGGGTTAGGGAAAGTGAGAGAGCTAGTGCTACGGGTAGATCTGAGAGGTTGCTGTAGTCCAGGAGGGGCACGTATGGGAGGCAATCAGAGAGCACTTTTCTCCATGCAGGATTCAAATGTGCACAAGGGCTGCAGCTATTAGAAACTTTGTGCTTTGGGGTGCAGCCCCAGTCATCTTGTTTCTGAAGTAAATATTAATAGCAACACTCAAATATTTAAATAGTATCCTGCTGTCCTCTTGGAAACAAATAATGATCTACGGTTAGTCAGTAACATTTTATGTATAATAAAAAATATGGTGTGTTTTGTTAGTCTTCTTCAGAAACAGGAAGTAGTTTAATTCCCCGCTGTAGCAGTCTGCTTTGCAGATGGTGCGATTCTAATTTTCCCCAATATCATCGTTCCCGTGACAAGATGCGTTCTATGTCTTCTTGGCCACATTCGCTCAGCGAAAACATGTCCTGTGCAGGGTCGATTCCGTGCTCGGGAACCCCAGGGATCTGTTGTCAATAGCATTCCACCTGGAAAGAAGGGGGTGAGTCAGGAATACTGTTCCCTCCAAAAAGAAGGGGTGCATCATCAATAGTACTTCTCCTGGAAAGAAGAGGTGTGACACAATGACTGTCCCCTCGGGGAACAAGGGGTGTGTCACGAATCCTGTGCCCTCCAGAAAGATGTGTCACGAATACTGTGCCCTCCAGAAAGAAAGGGTGTGTTACCAATAGTACTCCTGGAAATGAGGTGTGGTACACATGCTGTCCTCTCTGGAACCAAGAGGTGTGACGTGAATACTGGCCCCCTCTCCCATTAAACAAGGGGTGTGTCATGTATACTGACCCTGCAGAAACCAGAAGCGTGACACAAATACTGGCCCCCTAGGTGTGTTCTGAATACAGTCCCCTCTGGGAACAAGAAAGGGTGTATCATTAATAATGACAGGTTTCAGAGTAGCAGCTGTGTAAGCCTGTGTCTGTAAAAAGAAAAGGAGCTTCATCTGCCGTAGCTCACGAAAGCTTACGCTCCAATACATTTGTTAGGCTCTAAGGTGCCGCAAGTACTCCTTATCTTTTTATCATTAATAGTATTGCTCCTGGAAACTATACGTGTCATTAATAGTACACCTTGTGAGAACAAGAGGTATGTCCTGAATATTGTCCTAGGGACCGAATGTCTAGGCAGCAGTTTTGGGGAAAGGGACCGGGGGGGGGGGGGGGGGGAAGGTGGGGATGGGGGGGGGGGTGTGCTGTTTTTGTAGAGGGGGGGGGGCTTTGGGGGGGGTATATGGGGGGGGGGAGAGAGCAGGGGGGGGGGGGGGGCTCCCCCCTCTCTCTGTGGGGGGGTGGCCTGTGGTGTGGGGTGTGGTGGTGGGGGCTCCCCCCCCCACATGAGGGGGGGGTGGGGGGGGGGGGGGGGGGGGGGGGGAAGGACAAGGAAGGGGGGGGGGGGTGGGGGGGGTTGGGGGGGGGGGGGGGGGGGGGGGGGGGGGTGGGGTGGGGGGGGGGGGGGGGGGGGGGGGGGGGGGGGTTGGTTTTGGGGGGGGGGGGGGGGGGGGGGGGTTCTCAAGGAGGAGATAAGAGATGATATGGTCTCAAGTTACAGTGGGGGAGCCCTAGACTGGATATCAGGAAAAACTTTTTCACTAAGAGGGTAGTGAAACACTGTAATGAATACCGTCTGGGGGGGCCCTGGTTGGGAGAACGAATGGTTGCTTGAGCAGGGGTTGGCAGTGACCTTCTGGGGCTCTTCCACCCTTATTTCTATGTTCCTTTCTAGGACAAGAGATGTGTGCCCGGGGGGGGGGGCATGAATACCGTCTGTTCTGGGAACAAGGTGTGACCGGTGACTACCGTTCGCACCGAAACAAGGGGTGTGTCATGAATTGTAGTCCCCCTGGAAACAAAGGCATGTCGTGAATTGTAGTCCCCCCAGAAACAAACGGTGTTCAAACTCCTGAATACTATCCCCCCAGAAACAAGAGGGGTGTCATCAATAGTACTCCTCCTGGGAACGAGAAGTGAGTCTCGAATAACATCCCCCCGGAAACAAGAGCTCTCTCATCAATAGTACTCGTGGGAACGAGAGGTGAGTCACAATTACTGTCCTCAGTGGGAACAAGCTGTGTGTCCCGAATATTGTGCCCCCCAGAAACAAGAAGTGTGTCATCAATAGTGCTCCCTCTGGGAACAAGAGGTGGGTCCTGAATACTGTCCTCTCTGGAAAGGAGAAGTGTGTCACAAATACTGTCCCCCCCCCAGAAAGAAGGGATGTTTTATCAATACTACTCGTCATAAAAACAAGTGGTGTGTCACGAATACCGTCCCCACGGGGACCAAGAAGTATGTTCCGAAGACTGTTCCCTCCAGAGAGGAGAGGTGTGTTTTGAATACAGTCCCCTCTGGGCACAAGGGGTTTATCCCAAACAGTGTCCCCTCCAGAAAGAAGCGGGTGAGTCATTAATAGTTCTCCTGAGAACAAGAGCTATGTGCGACATACTGTCCTTTCTGGCAACAAGAGATACGTTAGGAGTACAGGTTTCAAAGGAACAGCCGTGTTAGTCATGTAATAGTTCTGCCTGAGAGACAACCATTTTTTTGAGCATGGCTTTTTGAGCCACTGCTCACTTCATCTGAAGTGAGCTGTGGCTCACATACTGCTCAAAAATTTTCTGTGCAACAAGAGATACTCCTTTCTTGTTAGGAGTACAGTGTCCTCCAGAAACAAGAAGCGTGCCATGAATACTGTCTCCTCTGGAAACAAGAGGTGTGTCATCAATAGTACTCTTCCCAGGAACGAGGGGTGTGTCATCATTGGTGGTACTCCTGGAAATAAGGGGTGTGTCATCATTCGTACTCCTAGTGGGAACAAGAGGTGTGTCCTTAATATCTTCCCCTCTGGAAAGGAGAGGTGTGTCCCGAACACTGTCCCCTCTAGAAACAAGTTTCAGAGTAACAGCCGTGTTAGTCTGTCTTTGCAAAAAGGAAAGGAGTACTTGTGGCACCTTAGAGACTGGTGCCACAAGTACTCCTTTTCTTTCTAGAAACAAGGGGTGTGTCCTGAGTACCGTCCCCTCTGGAAACAAGAGTTGTGCCATCAATAGTACTCCTCCTGGGAACAAGAGGTCTGTCCTGAACACCGTTCCTTCTGGGAAGAAGAGATGTATTAATTATGAGTACAATGTTCTCTAGAAACAAGGAGTGTGTCTTGAATATTGTGACCTCTGGAAATAAGAGGTGTCTCCTGAATACTACCCCATCCAGAAACAAGGAGTGTGTCATGAATTGTAGTCCTGTTGGAAACAAGGGTGTGTACTGAATACTGCCCCCCAGAAAACAAGAGGTGTGTCATCAATAGCACTCCTCCTGGGAACAAGGAGTGTGTCCTGAATACTGTCCCCTCTGGAAACAAGAGGTGTGTCATCAATAGCACTCCTCCTGGGAACAAGGGGTGTGTGCTGAAAAGTGCCCCCTCTGGAAACAACAGGTGTGATATGAATACCGCCCCCCCCGACCAGAAACAAGAGGTGCGTCATCAATAGCACTCCTCCTGGGAACAAGGAGTATGTCCTTAATACTGTCCCCTCTGGAAACAAGAGGTGTGTCATCAATAGCACTCCTCCTGGGAACATGAGGTGTGCCCTGAATACTGTCCTGTCGAGAAACACAGATGTTTCTTCCCCTTATGACTTGTATGATAAATAATATTAAAAGCAATGGGGCATGGCTCCCTGGTGCCCTCTGTTTCAGTGCCCCTGTTCTCGCCCCCTCCCCACACTTGGAGCAATCCCCGGCCGAGCTGGTCCTGGGAACCTCTTGTCTGCTGTCTAGAGGCTGATGCTGGGGTGTCACAATCCCCCGTCTTTGTACCTGGTCTCTGCTGAGCTTGGGTAGGGGGGGTGAGGAGTCTGTGATGTTGCCTCTGTGTCCTGAGTGGGAGACGCTGAGTGCTGCTGCTGGACTGAACAAGCCTTCTGATGAGTGAGGTCTCCATTTAAAATAAGAGTGTGCTGTCTCTCTCACTCTCCAGATACACACAGCCTCTCTCTCACATACACACTTGTACTGTTGTTGTTGTTATAGTCTCTGCAATTTTATTCTTTCAAAGGAAGTAATATGTGTGTAAGCAGTGTCAGGATGAGCTCCACCCTGAC